AACCTGTTAGTGCCAGGTTCCAATATTATTTCATTTATTTGCATCAATTTTAAAAGCCTTTACAAGCATTTGTTTCATAATGTATTCAAAAATAGGATGATGATTCGATTTATGACATTTTAAATTCAAATGTAGATCCTGGTTGGGTCTAAGCAACTACCAAAATACAACAGACTTTCCAATTTACCTGCCAAACATGCAAGAAGATTGTTTGAAGGTGGGGTCTCCGTTCAAGTGTTTTGTCCCTAAGTTCAACGACTAATTCTCAGAATAAATTTGAAATGGCATTTTTACAAAATAGAGATTAATTTAAACGGATTTATAATCCATAATAAACGAACATTTAACGATTTCTATCAACAAAAGTACTTATCATGTGTACTTTCTTCAATCTGTAATGTTATATGACTTACTGCTATAAAGATAAGAGTATTTTCAACATCAAAACGATAAATTAAAATCATGTTTGTTAAACGCATACAACAATGCAAAGTGGACGAGTACATTTCAGATTGAAGTTCAGAAAAAATACAATTACTGTTGAGAACCCCACGAACTGTTTGTTTTATTTCCAGCTTTAAAAGGAGCGTCCAGGCCAAGGAGACGCCATTGATAAGATCTATTGGACACAGTGACAATGTATGTACACCGTAATCAGCGTGTTATATTGGAATTCTCAGAATTTTGGTTTTATCAAGCTTTACTTGAAACGGCCGATAGCGACCAGACACCTGTTATAAATTGTATACTTTTATCCGTTTTATACATACATATATAATTTAGTTGAAGTGACAAATTTTTGTACCTGTATAAGTTTCACTTTTGAACCCCTTTTGCGAAGAAGAAATGTACACTTCTGACTACTATATTTAATCAATACTATTAAACACATAAGGGTTGAACAGTATTTTTCTTTAATTTCATACTTGTATGAACGCTAATCGCTTATACACATATTCCATCTAGAACTCTAAAGCTTCATGGTAAATATGTGTGTAACCGCTTATATACATATTCCATCTAGAACTCTAAAGCTTTATGGTAAATATGTGTGTAACTGTTTATATACATATTTCATCTAGAACTCTAAAGCTTCATGGTAAATATGTGTGTAACCGTTTATGTACATATTCCATCTAGAACTCTAAAGCTTCTTGGTAAATATGTGTGTAACAGCTTATATACATATTCCATCTAGAACTCTAAAGCTTCATGGTAAATATGTGTATTACCCCTTATATACATATTCCATCTAGAACTCTAAAGCTTCATGGTAAATATGTGTGTTACCCCTTATATACATATTCCATCTTGAACTCAAAAGCGTCACGGTTAATATGTGTGTAACCGCTTATATACATATTCCATCTAGAACTCTAAAGCTTCATGGTAAATATGTGTTTAACAGCTTATATACATATTCCATCTAGAACTCTAAAGCCTCATGGTAAAAATGGGTGTAACAGCTTATATACATAGTCCATCTAGAACTCTAAAGCTTCATGGTAAATATGTGTGTAACCGTTTATGCACATATTCCATCTAGAAATCTAAAGCTTCATGGCAAATATGTGTTTAACAGCTTATATACATATTCGATCTAGAACTCTAAAGCTTCATGATAAATATGTGTGTAACCGTTTATGCACATATTCCATCTAGAACTCTAAAGCATAATGGTAAATAGGTGTGGAACCGTTTATGTCCATATTCCATCTAAATCTCTAAAGCTTCTTGGTAAATATGTGTGTAACAGCTTATATACATATTCCATCTAGAACTCTAAAGCTTCATGGTAAATATGTGTGTAACCAATTTGCGTTCATACTTCGAATTATTTTTGTTTCAATTTAATTGATACGTTTACTTGACATATGTATTACCCAATTTGATTTCTTCCATCTAGTCAAGAAAATATAATCTTATTAAGTCTTCAAACGCTTAAACATTATTTGAGATTATCTAAACATTATTTCCTTTCCAAAACAAAAGAAATTGTCAAAATGTAAAGCATACTGTGATTTAAACTTAAAATCGATGAAACTAAATATGAAACGTAAAAAGAAATGTACAAAGAGAATATGACTAGGTGTTTAAGAATTTTAAGCTTGTCAATAATGTCCCCTAATTTCTAATTCTTATTTCCACATTGTGTACAATGTTAGATTCATTTTTCACATAACAAGGAAGAAAGCTGTACTCAATCATAAATCAAAATGTAGTTGAAATTTGCTATTCTCCGGATAATGGCATATCTCACATTTTGAGGACTGGATTTGTTTTCTAGGAAAAACGGATTTCATTAATCCCTACAATACCGACCTTTTTATCAAGCTATCTGCGTTTCTTTCTGTGTAAATCTGAAAAACGAATAGGGTTATCTGCGGTCGTTCGGAAGTAAAACGAATCCCAATATAAGTTACGGCAGAAATACTTGGTACCTGTAATCACCCAAACAGGATGTATGCATTCCAGTGTGTTGCCAAATTTTAGGGAAGGAATCCGGTTATCTGAGGTCCGACAGAAGCAAATTAATTTATAGAAGAAGTACTTTGGTAAATTTGATATTCTGATAAAGAAGTTCTGGGAATTGTTTTATGTTATTTTACACCGCCTACTAGTACGATACAAAACATTGAGAAAAATAAGTCGGTTGTAGTTCAGACACATTACAAAGGTTAATGTGATATCTTGGCGGGTGTCCTGATACATTACTTTTGAACAATTAATAAACAGACAGTCAAGAAGTCGGTCAATATCGTCATATTTAGGTGCACGAATGTAATATCCAACACGCATAGTATATAAAAAAAAATCTTCTATATTAATGGGTAATTGATAATGTAACTGTCTTTAAAGCATATTTAAATAAACTGGGGTAAAACCAGCATTAATTGCCATATAATTTACATTTAAATGTTAAACGAATACAGCTCAAAGATTTTAACGGGCTTACACATACACGCCACAGGTGCTTCCACACAGTTCATACAGCCCTAAAGTATACACTCCTTGTTTTTTTTTTTTTTTTTTTAATTTGCAATAGGCAACAATACCTTCGTGCTTTACATACAGTTAAACATGACATTGACATGATGGCAATAATAAATACATATTTGCTCTCAAATATTGAGGGCATTTACATGAATTGTATAGCAACAAAATAACACACATTCACAAGGAACATTTTCATTCACAATAGTAAGCATGAACACAGGATGCAATATACTTTAACACAAACAAACAAAAAATGCGAAGCGAAGGATGCAAGGAATTAATTTGAGTTACATTAAACAAAAGTCCATGTCTAAATTCATTTGCTTTGTAAATAAACGTAGCTAAATTTCTAATAATGAAATTGTTTTCTGAAGATACATAGACTGTCCATATCATTTGCCATACAAGTATATGGACACTATTAATAATGCATCGGCCAGGCCTCCGCCACGTGCACTTTGTCGAGACTTCAGAATTCTGGGATACATTATGTGCAGTGTATGTGAGTACCCTTCTGTCGCCATATGCTGCCTCTAGAAACATAAGGAACATGGCGAAACTGCTCAATAGCTTTACCCTGCAAATTTAGATTTTCTTAAACAACTTTGAATATTATTTTCCAATTTTTTCGAAGGGAAATGTAATCTAACTAGTGCTGTTTATGATTTATTGCTTACGTGTTCATCTTTTATCTTCACTTAACCATTTGCATATGAGAGATACTTATTCATTTTATATGCACTTTCGAGAAAATCAGGTTTCGATTTTTTTTCTGATTTTGTTCTTGGGCGTTGATGCTGTGGTATGCTTGGTATAATAAAGTATATTTATTATTACTTGATCGTTTAAATATTCCGTTAAAGTGTACAGTGTTATCAGAGTAATATGGTTTGTTGTAAAGTGGAAGCAGAACCGGACCAAGGGAGGTAAATCCTACCGAGGTAATAACTTTGTATTCTTACGTTCATTTCCATCTGCATGTCATGACATTTACCTGCATCAGGACGATCATGCTCTTTAAAGTTGTCTAATAAACATGTCGGCTATAGTTTGAGGATCGTTAATTTTCCTTTATCTAAACAGTTACATACCAGCCTACCCTAGCCTATGCACGGTGAATACATGGCCCAGTTGATTCTCTACTCCAGTTTCTGTTTTAGGTATCAGTATCAACTGACACGATGCGTTCTGTTGCTAATATTATGTATATGAAGTAGTCTGGGTTTACTATCGGAACGATATCGATCTACACTGGAGAATTTTAACGGTCATCACTATGGTAAGAGATAAAAATATTAGATTTCTGTGTACATGTTTTGACAACCCGGTATCAAAAGTTATATTTCTAGGTTTGGGATCCTGTTTTCTAGGGTATGATTATACATACATGTGTAAACATATTGTTGAAATTAAATTTGAAAATGAACAAGCTCGAGTTAGATACTGTATGCCGGGATTTTTTTTGCCCATTCAAACTTTTGCCCTTCGCCAGAATTATCCATATTCACTCAGAGCTATTTTCGCCCTTCACATTTAATTACTATGCACACTATTTTGTAACTTATGTTTGCTGTGAAGGGGGGGGGGGGGGGCATTGACCAAGGGGTTAAGTCGTATGATATTCTGCTACCATTAGGCCTTCACCACCACCTTCACCTGCCCCACTTAGGTTCGAGACTCAAGTGGGGCAGGTACTAGCCGTAGGTCGGTGGTTTTCTCCGGGAACTCCGGCTTTCATCCACCACCAAAATGACCAAGCTGTAAATAGGACCAAAAACACAAACAAATCAAACCAATCGCTGTGATGATAAATTCGCCTTCATTAAGACGGACGAAAAATGATTTAAATTGTACTGCAACAAACATTTCCCGGTATACAGTAAATGGATAACCATTTACATCTTGTCAATGACCAGAATTGACCAGATGTAAAATTGCAGAATTTTATATACTTCAATACTTTTTTTCTTTCACGAAATGATTGAAGGGAAAACTTTTTTCTTTTTTCTTTTATTTCATGTTGATTTGTTTACAGCTGAGTATATAGAGTCAACTAAAACTCCAAGAACACATGTATACAACTGCAGTAAGATTTGCTGACGTCAGATTGTTGATCCTAAGCTGAACAAAACAGAGAAAGGACAAAATTTATTACTTTTGTTTCCGTGTTCAGTGGTCTGTGTAAAAATTGTTCTATTACATAATCAAAACATAGTTAAACAAAAAGAAAAAGGAAAAGCAACATTGATATTGAAAGTGTGCAGTAAGATTATGTACATTTGTAGTCATATCAGACTTGATCAGAACAAAATTGAAAGTATAATCGGACAATATATAAACTATAAACACCATAGCAACTAAACCCCAAGATATACCTTAAAATCAATGTCAATAGGAAACGAGACAACAGGACTTGAGGAACGACTATGGCAGTTACTAAAGACTACAGGTTTCTATGTTAGAACAGGCTCATAAAGCATCATTGCCAAGGCTAAATTATCCTCGATACTCCAGGGGCTAAATCATCCTCGATACTCCAGGGGTTAAATCACCCTCAATACTCCAGAGGCTAAATCATCCTCGATACTCTAAAGAGTTAAATCATCCTCGATACTCCAGGGGCTAAATCATCATCGATACTCTAGGGGTTAAATCATCCTCGATACACCAGGGGCTAAATCATCCTCGATACTCTAAAGAGTTAAATCATCCTCGATACTCCAGGGGCTAAATCATCATCGATACTCCAGAGGCTAAATCATCCTCGATACTCCAGGGGCTAAATCATCCTCGATACTCCAGTTGCTAAATCATCCTCGATACTACAGGGGCTAAATCATCCTTGATACTCCAGGGGCTAAATCGTCCTCGATACACCAGGGGCTAAATCTTCCTCGATACTCCAGGGGCTAAATCATCCTCGATACTCCAGGGGTTAAATCATCCTCGATAATCAGGGGCTAAATCATCCTCGATACTCTAAAGGGTTAAATCATCCTCGATACTCCAGGGGCTAAATCATCCTCGATACTCCAGGGGCTAAATCATCCTCAATACTCCAGGGGCTAAATGTAAATCATCCTCGATACTCCAGGGCTAAATCATCATCGATACTCCAGGGGCTAAATCATCCTCGATACTCTGGGGGCTACGCTCACTTTCACCCTCCGCACCTCTGGAATATGTCCAATAACAAAATTAAAGGCTCAGTTTGTGCCACCTTTTGTTAAGACAAGAAGACTTGTGCGATCATTTGATGTACATCGAATGAATCTCGCGGTCGCATAACGGAAACATAGACAGGTTTTGAAGTCGGGTGTCGTTCCTCTGTAATCTTCAAAGGACAGGTACACGTATCAGCCTACTGATTTGTGAGGTTTTTAACCTGAGCCCAATCAAATAAGTAGCCGCGTGCCTTTAAGTTTGCTATGACACAACCCAGAATAAACAGAGGAAAGTGAGCGTAACCCCTTCATTATCTAGGATGGGGATAAACATATATTCTGCCATCTTTATTGCACATATTACCAGTAAAGTTAGCGTAAACTACGGTGTTCACGTGTTCGAGATGGCGATCGAAATACAAGTCGATTCGGCTAGGCATTAGGCGTACGTATACTTAGGTATGAACTATGTACAATTTGGTCAAGTTTCTAAGTTGCTGACTTGGCGATACGTAAATACTTACTGCAAAATCCACAATATGACGCACAGTGCTGACGGGCCCAAATTGCATAGTCCGTGCACACGTCACGAGAATAGGCATTGCAGTCTTGAACATCGTGGCACCCAGCCCGCGATGGCAACGCGTCTGGCGATGCTGGAGGTGTTGGTATTTCTGCATTAACTACGAGATGGTAGACATAAGTTAAAAAAGATAACTCTAAGTATGAAATACACAAGAAAATAATTCATCACACGTCGTTTTCTTTTTTCGTAAAGCATTCTGAGAAGTCTCTATGTTTGTGTTTTTTAATTAATATAGGACAGTTTATTGACAATTATGAATGTGTGTTACAGCGATAATCGGCGAATCCCTAATAGAATATGGTCTGTAACCATTGATAACTTAGGACTTTTGTACTTTTTTTTATAAGTTGCATGTTTAATACAACTATCAGTGACGTCACAAGGGAATGTATGATGACGTCCGAAATTAACCACTTACATTACAAAAATGGTCGGTTCCATCCTATTTTTGCAATTTTACAGTTTACATGATTTGGTTGGACGTGTCATATAAAGAAGATCTTAAAGTCGCGTCAATTTTATCTGACATCAAACTTTGCCAAAGCAGAATACCTAGACTTAATGAAAAACACTTTATAAGTTAAGGAATGTATGACGTCAGTGGCTTTGACCAAACTATTTATTTATTTTTTTGCATAATTTCTTCCATGCCTGCTTATTATATATGTTTATGTTTATTTTTTTCTGGTTACTAAAAAATATTAAACAGAGTTCACGTTAGGATTCAGAAGCTACACAACGTGTGGAAGATTCCTTTATACCGTTGTGTCACGGATTACTAATAACAGTAGTATTGGAGCCCAGTCAGTAGAAAACAGGGATCTTTGACATAAAACTCATGCAATAAAACCCCTAACCACGGTGATATTATGTCATTACATATCAGAAGCTTACTACATATTCCACAGAATCTGGCACAGTTCTTTGTGGCCCATGATGAAAAGGCAGTCTGACAGGCGGCCAGGCCATATGTCTCACAGTTCGGCTCTTTATCGACACAGGAATCATCTAAAACATTATAATACAAACACTTCATCGGGTCTAATCTATCATGAATGATAATATAATAAGATTCATATCAATAATTAAACAGTTAAAGCTGATATGACTTTTTTTTTGGGGGGGGGGGGGGGGGGGGTACAGCATTCCTTTACGAAAAATTGAAACTTCGGAATATTTAGACACTTTTTCGTAAAATGTCCATGTCAGTAAAATTTTATTATGAAAATTATTGAATTGTTTCATAATATTTTTTTGAATATAAAATAGAACAAACGAACAAGAGGTCATAGTTTTCGAATTGAAAAAGGAATGTCCAAATTGAACTTAACAAAGTACTCCTTTAAAGAAGAACCATTGGAATTCTTTGCCAAATCACGTCGTCACATCATCAACAATAAACACGCTTGAAGCCCGGCTTGATAAGCACTGGGGACAACCATAATATTTTATAATCATGAACTATACAATAATGAACTTATCCACTGTCGGGGCGTCAGCCTAGAGCCCGACCATACATATGATCTGGATATGTAGGCTTTTGCCTGCGTCAAGTATTATTACATTATATATACTAGCGGAAAAAAGAAACTGTGCATGCCGATAATGTGTCATAAAAATAAATGTGTATGACGTAGAACCACAAGGTTTTCAGGGACAATTTATTTGCTATTTATTAACAGTTGTATTCCATTTTTCACGTTATGGAATCAATAAGTTCCGCTCAGGAGTGACGTAAACACAGCAGAGGTTAATACTGAGTTCACAAAGTTAATACCTCGTATGTCCACCGTTTGCCTGAATGCAAGCCTGGCAACGTCGGCGCATGGAGCCTATCAGACGGTTCAAGAATGCTTGTGGGATGGCATTCCAGATCTGTACCAACGCTGGAGGCAAATCAGCCAACGTCACCGGTTGATTAGGTAATGCCCGTAATCTGCGCTTCATTTCATTCCAGACGTGTTCAATGGGCGACAGATCGGGGGATACAGCAGGCCAGGGCAACACGTCAACGTTCTGCTGGGCCAGAAAGTCCATAGCGACACGAGCTGTGTGTGGCCTGGCGTTGTCCTGCTGTAGCGTAATGTGACGTTGCTGCCCTTGCACGAATGGAACGACGTGGGTCCGGAGGATCTCGTCACGGTAACGTAGCGCGTTCAAATTCCCGTTAACAACCACCAGAGGCGTTCTCCCGTTGGCTGTGCTGCCGCCCCAAATCATAACGCTGCCTCCGCCGAAAGAACGTCGTTGTACCACACACGCGTCACGGAAACGTTCTCCAACGCGACGATATACTCTAGAACGGCGTCACTACTATCCAGGTGGACTCGCGACTCGTCCGTAAACAAAATGCCTGCCCAATCCCGCCAAGTAAATCGCAGATGCCTTCTGCACTAGTCCAGACGTGCTACACGATGACGTGACAGAAGAACTGGGCGGATTGCAGGACGTCGCGGACGGATAGCTCGGTCACGCAATCGGTTCCGCACAGTTCTCGGGCTTATTGGTAGCAACCCAGGTATTGTCCGTGCAGTCAAACTTGCCGTTTGGAAGCGATTTCTCAAATGGACAAGCCGAATATGGTTGTCCTGTTGACGTGACTTCACACGTGGACGTCTCGCACGAGATCGATCGCCGACGTGGCCAAACTGTTGATGTCGTCTCCACAAATCCCGGATTGTGTTTCGATGGACATGAAAACGTGTACAGACAACGGCTTGGCCCATACCAGCTTGAAGCATACCAATAATCCAGAGCGCGGTCATTTTTATTGAGCCTCGGCATAGCATTAATCACAAATTAAAACGTTATAATGCTGTTTTTACTGTTCACTGGTGTCTTTCATTGTCGAATTGGATGGCTGGACGAGAGAAACGGGCAAACTGGTCAACGCCTATAGAGAGCAAACTGCACGGGAAAAACTGTCAATGACACAGGGATAGTGTGTAAGTGTCATACTCGGTCATGCGTGTGAATTTTCATGTATATACAGTTGGTAATACATGTTCTATAACAATTCTCCGCGTGTACAGTTTCTTTTTTCCGCTAGTATTACATATTATATTATAAGCAAATGACTTACCACATAAATTACAATATTTAGCACAATATTTCTTAGCCCAGCTTTGGTGATTGGCATCACATGCTGTTGTATTAAAGGCTGCACAGTGGTGAAATACATCAACACATTCGGTTGCTTTTGTAGCAGTAGTCATGTCAGTCGCAGGAGGAGTAGGCATGCGCGTTGTAAACATATTTGTTGTGGTAGCAAGACTACTCATTTCTGCAGATAAAAATTTCTATGTATTACTTTATTTATTTAGTGGAACTCCGTTATTTCTGAAATTTTCTTTTCCGAATATTTTCTGGATTATTAGAACAAAGTAACTCTCATATTGTTATGTGAATTGCGTAGTAATTTTTCTTACATTTATACATATTAATTTTTTTTTTATCTTTATAAATCTCACCGGTATAAATTTTTGATGATATGATTAATATGTATATATGTGTTTCATATTGTTATTTATATTTCGTTGTAATTTATCTATTTATTTATTAGTTATACCTGTTATCCTACCGGTAAGAATTGTCGTTTATAACTTTACTATGCACTGTATATACGATAATAAAGTCATGCAAGTTGGTTCATACTGTACCAACTGTATATCTACATTAAAAGCATAGCCATCAGTAATCGAATGAAACGCTTTCTTTTATAATTACTGTGCTTGTGTAAATTGATATTATATTATTCTTATAAGATATAACGATAGACCGACACTTTAAAAATGATAACTATTTCGGGCAAATGATTCAAAGCCAAGCAAAACGTCATATTGAGCATGGAATCAAACAACTCATTGACAAATAGAAAAATGACGTCATAAATGAAGAGATTACACATTTCACGTGGTAATTGTTATGTCCCATTCTTTCAAAAGCAGTTAACTTACTAATATAGTTAGCTTTCAAAGACAACACGGTTGACATTTATACTATTTTTAAATGCTAAAAAATGCTTATTTTTTTGCTTCCCCTACCTACGGTGTCAGGTGATTCGTTACTTGAGAGATTGTTCCTAATAGTATGATCGACTGCTAACGGACAACCTTAAAACAGAGGGTGAGGTTCAACAGGCTGAAGAAGACTATGGGTAGTGTTATGGTCGGCATCAGAATCTCGCAGGGAAATATGTTATATCTTTGTGTGATATTAAGGTCGATGTTTTTGAAAATTGTTGAATGCTAGCTGTTAGCGCCGAAATGGCACCCGGCTGTATGCTCCCCAGGGAGTTGAAAAATGTATTGGCTGGTTGCAACGGCCCTATAACCACGAATACTAATTTGTGAACCGCTTTGAGACGACCTACGAACTAGGTTGTGATAAAGCGGTTTATAAGAACCTCCAATTATCATTATTAGTATAATGCTCATAAAATGACATTGTTGTCACTGCCAGAGTTCTCGATGCGAGGACGTGACATTTCTAAGATTTGACTAATATATGTAATAACTGTTTGTTATGTTCTTATCACTTATTGTTATCTTGACAAATAAAGTGATCAAACATTGGTGCAAAAGAATTCTTGGCGAAAATTGAAGAGTCTATAATAGTATAACAAAAACACATTACCTTTGCAAGTTGTCGCCGCAAGGGCCAAAATTACCAAATAAAACGACATTTCAGTATATTTCTGTAATTAAAAACAAACTGTTAAGGTTGAATTGTTTAACGATATATCTACGATAGAGTTCATATCATTTGTATGCAAGACAAACAAATGATTATTGAACACATATAAAACTTAAACAATATAAAGATACGCTGTTAATGTTAAATTACAGATTATTGGAAGTATTTCGTTGAAAAAACGAGAACTATTTCAGATAACAATCAAAACAATGTGAACATTCTGCGTTGATGATAAAACTCTTACTTCATACATAACGAATTTATATCAGACACTGATGTAATTTAGCTAATAAACCGATTAAAAAGCAATCGATTGAAAATGTTAACTTTTTTACACTACGGAAACATACTTACTGACACAAGAAGATAGAGGGTATTGAGCAATATTTGATGTTTACGTCTATATATCGGACTCCTTGTAGATAACACTAACCATCAGGTCATCTCCATAGATAAATTTGTATAAAGTGCATTGACTTAAGATAAGGATGTTTAACTACATACACCTGATTAAATGTAAAATAAGAATAGATATTTTCCTTTATTAACGTTTATGAGTTATATATGTTTTCTTATACACCCAACAATATGTGTTTGTGTATTACGAAATGATAATAAGTCATAAATATTCGAGGCATTTTAGCTTCAAAACATTTGGTATACCATTTAGCCTTGCCAATCGATAAGCAATATTACACAAGTTTGTTATCTTACCGCAATATGACTCACCATTCAAGCGTTACACCGACGCTGATGACATTTCGCTCAAAGGTTAATGCAGATAAGATATGGCAAAGACAATGGTCATTTAACACTGCTGAAACGTACTTTGTGCTCGATAAAATTGACATTAGTTTCTTCGTACCTCCCTAGTACTTTCACCTTTTCAGAGTTTCATCAGGGGAAACGTTTACCTTTGTTGACAGTACAACACAACACAAAACTTGATGACGTCATGATACATCATGACATCCCACTACAACCTAACAAAATGAAGCCAAAATTACAAATGCACTTTAGCGTCAACTCTTGTAGAACAACAAAGATGGTGTAATAAAAATATATATAAAGTTAAAGGCTCATGCTATATTTATATTTATCACATACCTGTTAATCTTGTTATAGTAATACACGCAATATTTAGACCATGAAATACAACGTTCCGTATTGCACATGTGCAATACGGAATGTTGTACAAATGTATTTACCTAATAGCCGGAACTACTTTTTATGGGAATCCCCTTGTCATGGGAAACGTCACATATCATTGTATTGCATTGTTTTATTTTTGGAAAGTTTTTAATGTTTGACAATTTATAAATAATGAAGTACAAAAAATATTTTTCCTCTTGAAATACAAAGTTATGACCGTTAAGGCTTTCCAGATAAATGGGGCTATTTATTTTGGGAGGGGGGGGGGGGGGGGGGAGTTGGCAGTAAATAAAAACAAGTTGTCGTCTGCTTACAATAGGCTAGTTACTACAGACTGAGTGGGCTTTGTTTACAATGGTATTTGCTGGCAATTGTGACATCTTGCATACTCTGACGGATCCAGAGACAGATGACGAATCCAGTATTCATGAAGCTAAAGGTAATGAAGTGGCAATGTCTTAGAATGAAATTAATTCAAATTTCTCAACCACCGTATCGTACGCTCCCCCTTCCTCTGACCCCATGTTTCATCTGAAATAGACGACGCGGACGTGATTCCATCCCGTACTTATACTTACGGTGTCTCCGATCTGAGAAATTACATTATGAGTACAAATGTTAAAGAAATGAAAATATTGTTAAGAAAACTGAGGGATGTATTAAAAGAGTCCAAGAGTGGATTCAGGCTCCTCCTAGGTCTGACACCAGGGACGTTCTTAAGATTCTGCCATTTGAACTAGATACATGTACATACATTAGTGGTTTTTTGCTGTCTCTTCAGAAGAATGATGGTTCTAATTATGAATCCGACACTCTTACCAGCTTTCACAGGGGTATTGACCGCTATCTAAGGAAAATGGTTATAATTTCAACATTCTAACCTCAGATTTATTCAGCACAAGTCGCCAGGTACTTCAGTCTCGGCGAAAAGAGTTAAAACAGAAAGGGCTTGAGAACCGCCCAAGGAAAGCTCAACCTGTCACTGAAAACGAGGAAGAAATGTTATGGGAATGCGGTCAGCTTGGTCACGACAACCCAAATGCGTTGCTGAACACAGTCTGGTTCAATAACAATAAACCTTTGGGGTTCAGTGGATGTAATGAGAACAGACAATTGAAATGCAATTAATTGTTACCAGTTATTTAAAAACGAAATTGTTACTATATAAGTATTTGAAATCTGTGTTGTTCTTGTAATTGTTTTTGTTTTACCAGTTAAATACCATAGAGAAAGTCGATGACAAAAATCTGCACTATATGGTTTTTCTTTCTCTGACATGCAGGACAGTACCTGTCACTGGTGTCGACTAAATTAGTTCAAACTGGTTTCTGAAAGACGAGGCGAACTGAAATGTTCCCGGTATTTGCAAAAAATATCAAAGTTTATAAAATCTTTGGTTCGATCTCTATCAAATACGGAAGGTATGTGTTAAAAGCAAGACCACAAACTTGTGTTTTTCTAACGAATCAGAAAGCATTCATATATTGCGCGGACGTATATATTCACTCGTGCGCTCTGTGCACTCGTATTCGTCCGTGCAATAAACTCGTGCTTTCTGGTTCGTTAGAAAAACACAAGTGTGTGGTCTTGGATATGTATATATAAATATATTTTGATAAAGCGTCCCTTATTAACCCTACAGTAAGAGTAAAATAGTACAATATTACATCCGAGTTATTTGTTGTGTATTAACGAACCAATACAGTAAAAGGGACTGTGGCAACCTGTATAATTGGCATTTATATGTACTGATAAATCAAGATAATCCCAAAAGTTCAATGCAATTAGAAATAAAAAGTGATCGATCTGTAATAATACAATTTTATAGTTTAATTTAAATCTTCAAAATACTAAATATGGAAACATGTCTTTTTTATTATAGTTTAATATGGATGTGAAGTGTATTTGATGCCTAATGTAGAAAGGAATATTAGCATGTAGAAACATATCGTTTATCTATGTATGTGCCATTATACTATCATACTATTATATGTTCATTTAACGAATGATGTATTAAAGTTTGCCGACTCGAATCTACCATGATCACTATTTAATAACCATAATTGTTAAGACATACTGTTTTTTTCCATAAAGGTCATCATTTAGCTTTATTTCAAGAAAAACGTATATTTAGCTCGGAGCATGTGTTTAACAGATCCCCGCTCTCCACACATCTACATAGTATTGAGCCCATTCATGAAGCAGTGGCTAAAATATACTGTAGAAACCTGAATTACATGTAGTGTAGTACTTGAGGTGAATGTCAAATTGAAGTCGCAGTCATCTAGTTATAGGATGACAAATCGCCTTGCTATGATGCACCTATATACACTGTACAAACGTTGATGCCCGTTCATGAAACAGCAACTGAGATATACTCCGGACACTACTCTTCAAGGACAGTCACACACCAGGGCGCACGGAAAAAGCGAACACTTTGTATTTCCGACTATAGTGCGTGTGTCATTTATAGGAACAATGTTTGCGATTCTACCCCAAATAATGTCATTACATGTTCCAAAACAGTGTGTCCTAAATCAGAAAACAATATAGGTCGCGGAGGTTACTTTTGGCACTGCGCCTTCCCGAATGCGTTTTATCCATACTAGGTTTACTTCATATCCACACAATGTCAAAATGTAGGTCGAAGAGGTAAGTGGTAATAGTACAGTGTTCAATACTATCCTGACAACTTTAAACAGGCTCACAGACATGCTTGCTAGGCGAGCGAACAACATGGCGACTGTAGCTCCCCTGGTTTTTTTAACAACATAAAATAATCAGTACACACAAATTATGTAAATTGTGATTTATTGAAGTTTAATGTTACATTGAAAAATCAACGCATTGTCATTGCTTTATTAACATGTGTAGATAAAATCAGTCAATGCTTTAATAATGAGCTTTTGTGCAGACATATTCTATTTAATAATTAACACAATCCATAATACATCGTTGTCATTGGAATTAAACACTTTCACTTTAGACATGTTTTTTATTTCATATGAAATATATTCTAGCAATGCTATTCTTAATACATAAAGTTATATAAGCAAATAGGTGCACGCATGCAGAGCATCGAAGGTAGTCAATGCACCATACCCATGTGCAAGACGTTTAACTATTCTTCCATCGAAATACAATTTAATTTATATTAATGATATGTTTAATATTTCATCGAAACTACCAAATGCTTCATACAGCATGTATGTTGCGCAGAGCATTTCTGTTGTTTACGTATAATTATATAGATTGTCAATGTAGTATTTGCATGTGTCTACATTATTACGATCCTGTAGACCTTCATGTCTCGCTGATTAAAGGTTAAAACTTTACTACAACACCGGATGTGAAAATTACTTTAACAAATTGTACATGAAAGTAATCAAGCATACATGAAATATTGTTTTTTGCTTGTTGAAATCAAGAAGGAAATTGATTATGTGTAACAACTCTCACAACGCTGTTGTCGAAATCATGTACAAATATATGACATTCAGATAACCAACAAAAATAACCATCTTATAAATATATAATATCGTAATGTTATATAAATCAAAATAAATTAAATATATCTTCATATTGTAAATGATATCGTAGCATTCAGCGAAAATCACTTCAAGCTTGAATGTTTCAGTAACAACACGGTATTAAGCGAAAATGTCGGGAACAATAACAGTTTAATAATGTGTCATGTGATACATGTTATCTTTAACAAAGTCGATGTCCTTGTGTTTTAAATAATTATATAACAATGTGGCAAGTTTACAAACAAGAGAGTGTCATGGCTAATACAAGATTATCACAGGATGTGTTATATGAAACATTAATATGCATTGTAACAGATTAGAAATTAATTATAGGAAAACTAATACATAACATAAATAAATATTCTCTAATTATATGATATGTTTTATGATAGAAATGCCCGACGTATACGTGTACTTTAGGTACCACTACATATAATACTAATATTTATCATTATATCTTTATTACAAAATGATTGTAACAAGGAACAAAAAACAATTTCAAACTATGTGTTAAGGTATACAGTTACATGTGACATTTAAAGTTAATTCATCACAAGAATAATCGGTAAATTTAACAACATCTGTCATAAACTTGTTTGTTTATACGAATGATTGTTAACTTGATATAGTGTTGTTTTTATAAGCTTTTACGTGGAAGTATCGGTAATGAAATGAGAATCACACAGTTGGATAAATTCCAGCAGTATAAATATATCTTGTTTTTAAATATTCCGTTATTTAAATATAATAAATCGGAAAATGTTTTACAGAATACATCGGTTCAAAATATTATGAACAATTACCAGTAATTATTTAAATCAAAATCTTATTTAAATTTCGAGCCTATATTTGCATTTTTTTAACTGTAATAGCACTATCTCAAGTTTATTATAATTTGATTGAGACATCGCATTTAGTAATACTTGCATAGTTTTACTCATTGTTAAAACAATATGAAATCATGTAGTAAGTAGGACTTGATTTGTGTATTTTACGTCCTATTAACAGATATGGTAATTTAAGGACGCGACAGGATTTTGTGGTGGAGGAAAGCTAGAGCACCCAGGGAATAACTACCGACCTGCGGCTATTACCTGTCGACTGCCCGACAGAGACTTCGAAACTGCGACTCCGTGGTGGAGGGCTTTTGATTGTAGACTGTCAGATCCCTTAACCACTCGGCCGCCGCGGTAGTATATCGAGTTAATCGTTGCATATTTGATATCGTTTAGATTTGTTTAAATATTTTGTTATTATCACAACAATCTATGTTATTAAAATATTATATATGTATGTTTTTAAATGTAAAAGGTATCACTGCAACAGATTTAATAATCGCGAAGAAGAGTTCCACGAGTTGTTTATTCGGAGTTTTCTCTCTTCTTTATAGGAGATGAAGCAACCAAAATATTGTTTTGTGGCTTAGAGTAACTACCCCTTTCAAGCTTTTCATATCCTTGAGGCTTGCAAATTGTACACTCGTTTTGATGATGCTCTTTTATCATTCCTATATGGCAACACTGGTAAAAAAATACGTTTTGTCATGTATAGGCTCCATGTTCGACCCCTGAAATTGTCTTGTGTTTTTTTTATTATTATTACTATTTTTAATAAATATTGAATTATTTTTTGTAATGTAAAGGTTCCGTGTTGGACCCCTGAAGATTTCTAGTTGTTGTTTTTTCTAAAAAAAATGTTTTTAAACATTCAAATTCCGAACAACCAAAATTCTGTCAATATATTGTAACATAATGATTATTATGGAATAATTTTTGAGAAAAGGTTTTAAACAAATATATTACAGTAGTGATAATTGTTGTACATATGTAACAATATTGTTGTTTAACTCGTTGGTACCCTTAATCTTAAAAGAAACCAAAATGTTTTATAATATTACTCCCTACCTGATTAAAACATGTATAATTACTGACTTGGCAAAGTAGAAAAATATCACAGAATCATGTATTTATACTCATGCCTCTCATCCAAAACGATGTTAAATGGTCAAATATTTACTGTGTTGGCATAACTTATAATGTATTGCATAACAACAGGCATATACAGTGATTATACCATATGGTGATACATTTTATCCGTATCATATATTTACTCACTCTCGAAATTATTTCTCACGCCAACACTGAATAATCAGAATAAACTAGTATATGCATGGATTCCAGACGAAATCGATTTAGAATTTTTTGCAACAAATATTTTGCAAGCTCAAAGAATCATCACGTTTCAAGCTTGCATAGATATCATTTAATGTCTTTCAAACATTGTTTACATATCTTTGTATCTATAACATGAACTTACGTTTTTTCTAAATGTTATGCTATATCTACTAGTGACCCCGACGCTCGACTGTTTCGGCCTGGTCCACTAAAACTAGTCACTACATTTTTATCAGGAAACCCTGACCTGATTTCGTTCCTGATAGAACTAACAGTAGATTCAGGTGTCACTGCACTTTGAACACTCTTAGAAATAATGTCTATTTCATCTGCACCATTTGGCACATTTCTGAACGGCTCTTTATGTTTTTGTCCATTCCAAGTTTTCATTTCCATACCACCGCCACCATTTTTGACACGTTTCTTTGCTGCTTTTGCCATCTTCCTAGCTCGTATAGAAGGCAACATGGAGTTTTCCTTACTTATTTCTGTGTCCTCGAATTGATCATTCGGTTGTAAGATCTCAGTGGTCTCCCCTTCCTGTTCATCTGTATTTTCAGACTTGCCCTTTCCAGCCCTACTGGCGAGGTTACCGTTTTGCGATTTTGTGGAGGAAAGGTCAGCCGTATTACCTTTAGTAGATATCATGTCTCTGGACTTCAGAAATGCAGGTTTTGGAATATTGTTGCCTTTTGATTTTGAACCCACTAGATCAGCTGCAGGGCGCTTACTCCTACCACTTGGTGTTCTGCCTATAGTTGTTTGCTGAAATATTAAATAGAAGCAAATATCACTGGCAGAGAATTAAGTAATACCGTTGATTACAATACACAAGATATTTAATGACAATATTTTATCATGTGTAATACTTGTTGATGAAAGAAAAGAAAACCGCACCCTTGATAAATGATGAAAACCTGATAAATTGTTTTTAAATACATCTGATAACAGTTGGTAAATTTTCTATAAAGAAAACGCCACCAATAGACAAAACAAATAAAATTTGATTATTTTTTTATAAATCACTTATTTTATAAAATGTGTACTTACCATCTTATTTGGCATGGAAATGAGGGCTACCTGGTCGGCCGCCCGATATGGACTCCACGTCTGTAGAATAGGTTCTCCCTTGTACGACTCCATCTTCAGAGGACTATGCTTCATAGTACCTAGTGTATATTATTATACAATATAAGATTTTATTGTTCAAAAAACATTTCCTGTATTCAACTTTCACGTCGTGTACCACAAATATCTATGTTAGCTTAAAGATAAGAAAACACTGTGATGTTTTATATAAGTCCTATCCGTAAATTGTATTTCCCTGTGAAAAAAGTCAAACAACGATTTTAGCTGATATTGTCAATAGAATAACATATGAGTTAAAACGAAACAAATAGTTAAAAGGACTTGCATATTATCATGTGCGATGCATAGCGTAACTGTTTCAAATGATCACATGAGTAATTAAAGGCATAATTTGCATATATGTGTGTCCGTTATATGTGACCTTAACTGTACTTGTTTAGTCTATTAACATCTATGTGTGTCCGTTATATGTGACCTTAACTGTACTTGTTTAGTCTATTAGCATAATCGGTACTACTTACTTGAACCTCGAACATCATAGGATCTGAAAAGAAAAGAAGGAAAACAATTAATTCATGATAATAAAACTATTTAATTTTCTAAAATACAATATATGGGAATCTGATACTGGACACCTGGGTGAAAAGAAACACATGTTTCAACACGGCATAGAACATAGGTGACTGAATTAACAATTTGGGAACCGTCGACAACGGGATGGACAAACCTGTTTATGGTTTTTACAGCAACAATCATAATAGACAGTACGAACTATCGATATTTAACCCGATTACATTCTTTAGGACTTTTGGGTTGATGAAAAGGACTTTTAATTTTTGAAGTGAAAATATCCACGTACTGTTCGGTACGCGTTACTGTATACCGGGAAACTTTCGCCCAGTCAAATGTTCGCCCTTTAACGCTGAAACCCATGTTCGCCTAGTGTTAGTTTCGCCCTTCAATTGTAATTAATATATTTGGTATGCTGTTTATTGGTATTTACGGTCATTATGCATTTGCCCCCATAACGGAGGATGAAAAAGTGAAATTTAAACTGCGGCGAAAATTGTCCAGTAGTGTGACATCAGACGTAGTCAATAAAGTTGTTATATTTTGTTTGGACCTGTCATCGATAATTATTATTATTACTTGATTCTTAACGGCCCATCAACACAAAAGATGTCATTAGGGCCAATTAATCTCCTGTCGATAATATAATTAATAGAAATATGAAGTAAAGAATAAGTTAATCTAAAATTAAGTTTGCCGATGCAGAAAGCAAAACAAAATAAGCATCTTTGCACTGTATTGTCATTTCGTCGATTTGGGACCCAACAGTGGCATTTGTGGCCGAGAGACACTCCATGTTTAAAGTGTTCAGAAACATATTAAGGAATACAGCGAAAGGGAAAATGTGCCTATGAAACCCTGCATAATTTCACAAATTCACATATTTTGCTAAAACAGACATTTATTGCTTATTTTATCGTTTATTGTAAATCAAGCGGGAATATATACAGAAATATGTATAGCTCGGAATGTTTCTCGATATATATGTGTTTTCTATCAAGTTAGGTGGTATGGTGTAAAATGTTAACAAAATCATCTGAAACGTATTTACATCCCATCATTATTTGACACACTAGTTTGGAGTCATGAATAGTCAGTAAAAAAATATCAAATAAAGAATTTACATCAGTTTTGATTCAACGGTGAGACGTCACATATGTATGCAAAAACAGGAAATGTGTTTGACCTGTATCGTTCAATTATTAATTGTTAATTGAACAGTGCTAGAAAACACATCTTACATCTGTGACACCATTTGATCATAGATCGAAGATTTCCATATCATTTATTTATAAGATGATTTGTATGATTAGAATGTATAGCATCTTATAATTGAAATATACCTGCAACATGTCGCTACTCTACACCTTATTTACCATAAAAAGAGGTTTTGATATTAATAACCAATACTACCTCGAACGTGGGTTAAGGTTCTTTTTTCACAGAAACTTTATAGTCCACGGCATTAACAAGTTTCATGCCTTATACAATAACGAAAGACCTTTAGACCTTTTAAAAAAGTCATTTGAAGATAGGTATCACTATTGACCACTGTGACCCTAAAAGTCTAAAAGTGGATCAACGTCAATGTACAAATTTACCTTATAACTGTTCGTTCAAATTGGCTGTAGAACAAATATCATTTATCTTGGTCATATGAACTTTTAGAGGAATCTGTTTTAACACATTTGACTTCTGTTAACAAGACAGGAATTTTACTTGGAAAGATGTTATGCCATCTGCATCCATAGTGGTGCTGTAGCTACTTGTCAAATATATGTCATATATGTTCTTAAGAAAAAACGCTTAAAGAAAACAATGACGGATGAGGAACACCGCACTAGATCTTAAGCTCACATACAAATTATATCGAGGTTGGCTTCAATCCCACGTATGTGATCGATGACTGTTAGTAAATCGATGTAAAGTCTATGAAACAGAGCATGATGAACCACACTATTGACTTATTTTATAAGCAAACTTTATATCTTGCTTTACATTCAGCATGCTGGCCACCTTCACCCAATACGCACAATAACGTACACTCAATCACAACAGGCTCGCTGTTTCGACACTTCATCAACACGTGGTGTCATTCCACCTTATCTAGAGCATGCTGTGAAACTAACAACACAATATAACACTGTGGTGGTAGATAGGTACCAAGAACAAAATATATAATTCATCCTTTCAACATCAACAATTGTATAGAGTTGCATATGTTTTTTATCGTTCTTGATAACAGACAGAGCGGCACAGCACGAGTCCAGCAATGCATCAGGACAACAGTCATGAGCATTTAACTTCCCCATCAACTCAATGTGTATTAGGTTAATGGTCTAATGAAACAAAGCTATGCTTAAAATACAGTTGTGTGTATCTAACCTTTTAAAACAAATCATACAGTGATATACTGACTGACACATGCTAAAATAAATTCTTCTATAAATGTGTCGTCTGAACGACAATGTGAACAAAATATTCCTGAAACAGTGAAAAGTGTTACCCTGTAGAGGCTGTGTCTTCTGGTACGGAGATGGATTCAGAACTGTGAAGAGGAAGGACACAGAAAGGTACATAGATGGTCCACAACAGCTAAAGCGGGAGGTTTACACGAAAGCTCTATGTACCAACCAGATTCAGTATATCACACCTTGTGCTTGTGTAGACAAATTGTACAGGTAGGGTTAGGGTTAGGGTTAGGGCATAATTAAATATTAAGTGGCACAGCGGCACAATTAATATGAACGTTAACCATCTTTAAGTCAGGCATAGTCTTTAAGAAATGCATGCAATTCTCACTTACATTATCAAATATTGGATATGTACAGCATACACATGAGTGGGATGAAGATGGATTACAAATGGACTTGTGATGGTGACAGTGATAATTGAATCCTAAGATGCTGTTTTATTTTAATTAATTACATGTTTAGACTTGTTCGCATTTGTATGGATTGTGTAATAATATATTGTATTGGTAAACGGATATTGTGATGTAACTCTTTATAAGGGATTACTATTTGTTGTAAAATGGGATTTACGAGACGTAAAACTGAATGTCAAGTGCAATCGAGCGTCACAAGTTGAATGTCCTGTTTCTCACACTATAACAGGAGTTGATATGAAAACCAATTTCCTTTTGCAGACGTTTCATGTTACTATGACATGTCCAAGCAGGATATTTAAGCTCAGGCTCTTTCAAAATCATAAACGTTTTTCAGTGTCCTTTAAACACCAAAACTGTTACACTACACCGATCGCAACCAATTGGATGTCCATCTTTCATTTTATCCCTTCGACTACTGCATCCCTCCCTTAGCAGCTCTTCTCAGTCTAGTGTTAAAGTAATGTGACAGGGTGGGATTTAATTCTTTCGCGTCCAGGTTTCGATATTTCATTGTGTTTGCACAATCAAATGACCTTTTAGTTGCCAAATATATAAATGAAGTGACTTTTTGGGATTTAAAGCCCAAAACAAAGAAATTGCAATAAAGACAAAGTTAATTATCTGCTTACCTATTGGTGAAATGCAATTCGTATTTTTGCTCTAACATGGAAGCTAATAATTTGATTCATGTAAAACAAAGTAACATTATATACTATATTTAGTTTATATATTATAACAAATATTAAAATAATTGTGTAATATATATAATGTATAATATGTTCGAACAAGTGCGATCCTGTTGGATGTGTGCTGAGTCTTTTTACAGTGTGACAACCTTACAACACCATTATTTGTTTACCTAGAAACCGGTGACGACGTACGGGCGAGGAAAATATCGGGCCTGTTTCATGAAATTCAAATAACACACAGCATTAGTTAAATGGCATTCTAAGTACTCAGTCACTACAGTAAACATGTTAACAGGGCAGAAAAGGGTATGTTTTCATTAATGCAAGAAAGTAACAAGTCAATATATGCTAAGTTTGTAGCACAAACAGGACACAAATATAGATAGTGAAATAGATTTACATAAAATGCGCCACAACAGATACATCTCGAAAATCGACATACATAATGCAGGTACATGTAGGAAAATCTTAATTCAAAGTTCAGTATCAAAGTGGTGTGGATTGATTTGGCCTAACAAATTCAATGTGAAACCTATTTTTGCAAGTGAAATGAAACAGGAATATGAATTTTACCCTGCATAGGGTGATGGAGCTCTCGAGTCAACAAGTATGACCTCTGACCTGTAATCACAGTAGATAAGATGAGATAAATAAGCGCTTTAAACATGGGTGCAATCGTGCGTTTCCACAAATGTCCGGTTTATTGGTACACAAATGTGACGTAATAAATCACATGACATCATGTTTACTTACTGATTACAAGTTTGTAATCGTGAACACAAAAGACAATCGGACAACAAGCAAACACCATCGTCTTAGAAACAGTTAATATAACCACTTTATAGCAATGACGACAACCGAGACATGACGTTGTATATACAAATGTACAACATGAAAAAACATAAAACATTAAAATATACATTAAGGCATAACAGCATACCACAATATATAATTTACGAGTGTCAAGAGGGGCATTTTTCCAATCTACGATCTTATATTTTATCGAGTACAGAGAAGTGTTGAAACAGGCTTCCAATCGTCCTGCTTTTGTGTTTGGTTTTGCCAAAGTTGTTGTTTTCATTAGACGAAACATTTACAGTATTTCACGTTAAAAATATGCAACAAATGCGAGCAAGAGACTAAGTACTTGCGCAATATGGTATTATGATAGAACAGAACTACATATTAAAAGGTATTTACTGGAAACTTTACAGATAAAGATAAGATGATATGGATTTAATCAAATTTATATCCATAACGACGATTTACAAAATGAAGTTTCTGAATCAAAAACAGCAGACGAAAACATTTAAGAAAGACACGAGATTTAGTCTAATGAAACAGCACATGCAATTCAAGAAAGAACCCTTATATTCCTTTACATTGACAGAACTAAAAACTTCCTTTAATACATTGACAATATTTGTTTCGTCATGCTTCGCTGATTCAATATTGAGGGGAACGATTCAGTAGGCGTTCCATACAAAATGTTCACCTGGAACAAGTACAGTAGATGAGCCACAACAACTATTTACTACACGAAATAGTTTTAGGCTTCTATGTATGATATATCAGTTATAATAAAAGTAGATTTACACATTCAGTAGGCACGCTATACAATCCTATTAACAACACAGAAAATATCCATGCAACATTTACCCGTATAACTCGAAATCCTCGTTTTTGTTCCTGAGAAAAGGAGACAGTGTGGAGAAAAGCAAGAATAAATTCAAAGTATTGAATATATTTTATAAAGATTATGACATAGAAGGACAAAGTAAACTGATGGAATCATGTAAGACATCTAATACGTAAGATGGAGCACATGAAAGCAAAAAGCTGAATTCAATGGTTTCTTTAGATGAGAGAAATAAGTTATTTTCCTATCGTTCCCAACTCTTGAATAAAGGATTCGGCCATGTTTCTCTGAAATACTGAAATGCTGAATGAAATAACGAACTTCAAATTATAAGAAAAAAATATCATTATTTATTATTGAAATTATAAAGAAGATCACATGATTAAAGAAGGAGGAGTGCTCTTATAGTCAGGCTGGAAAGACGTTTCCTTGTGAATGTGACAGAATAGAAGATTACCCTATAGTTAAAGCGTCGGTATCACCAGGATAGACCTTGTTCAAATTCCTGTAGCAAGACAAAACACTCTGTCTTAGTATAAAGCAGCACTAAGCACTACATTGACAAATAATTGAATGATCACAGAACACCAACAAGGATGAATAAACAAAGACAAGAGAAATGATTAAATTCTTCGTTAACATGATATCAGAAATATTAAATTATACATCAGATTAATAAAAACAAATTTGACATTTTCTTTAAAATTGGGAATAAGTCATTTGGGTGAGCTGCAAAACAATATAACCATAAGCATGATTTGAATTCATGGTAATAGCATAACAACCAGTAATAGTCTGAATCAAATGCATCTAAAATGGCAAAAAAAGGGAACAGGAAAAAACTACAATGCTCAAGATACCAACACAACATCAGCTTATAAGGGCCACAATGTTGTTTGAGGCGAACAAAAAAGATAAAACAAAAACAAAGCAAAGACAAAAATGTGTAAGGAAAAAGTAAGACGCTTGATATAAAAGCATGCATTACATGTATATGTACCAGGTGGAATAGCAGCGTTACAGTGAGCTTATTGTCAAAACTACGGTAACTATGTGCTAGGTTTTCGATCACCAAATGTGTTCTAACTACAAACGGAAACAAGTATACAATTTCTTCATTTGATTAATAATTGTTTAACGGAAAATCGAGTCGGGATATAAAAGATATTAAGCACAGGATGGGGACCATGCTACCATGCAACCATTGGCGTTTAGAACCGTGATTTTGGTAAATATACCTTTGGTTCAATAACATCAATTGCGATCTCGATGACCTTGGGCTCTGAGTTCTTGGAGAATGAAAACTGCGTGAAAATAATACATTTCATCAGCAAGATACGTTATAATTTTTCAATCACTCTGTACGTTTATAACATTCATGTTTATTTTAAATGATGATCTTATCATGTATGCACTCTTGTGTATTTTGTCTGTTTTGTGTTCGATCTGTGTTCTTGATTTTAATGAATGACCTTTTTCCACTTCTTGGTGTTAGTAACATTAATATACGATTTAAGAGGTTTTATTACGATAAAGAAAAAAAAACTTACCCTTCATCCTCTGGGGGTTGGTTTTGTCCAATACTGGCAGAGGATGGCGATATCAGTGTGAACGCGTCATCCAATAGTTCATGCATTCTACTGCGGGCGACGCTCAGCGATTCTTCCGCCGTTAATGCCATATTCTGTAGAAATATCAGGAAAAACGGAGAACGATATCAATCTTTCTTTTTGAAGTCATTTACAACGAATTAATTATTTTGATTTGTCTCAATTTAGTTTTACATTCAATAAATATTAATATACCAGAATAAATAAACGGTATCTAAATTAACGTTGTGAAATTAGTCTTGTTATTCATTTGCCGTTTTATTTATTGAATCTGTTACAATCATATGTCTGTACTGGTTCCATGTCGTACACAAGGTTTACTACCTAATCAATAGCTTTTTACACGTTACTCACGTCATGCCCTTCTAGTGTGCTCTTGGACCTGCAACAAAACAGGAAAACATCAACTGATCGCGCTAATGATAAAAACAAAGATAGCAGTAATGTTGAATAATTAAATGCAAATTAGGATCAAAATGTCAAAATGCTTGTGAATTCTTTCACGTTTTCCCTCCCTGCTCATACAATAGATCAATAAAGCCACACAACAATACCGTATCTGTCAATGAATAACGACTGGCTTCACATTATAAGGTAGTAATTACACAGAACAAAGGCACATCCTCTTGACAAGAATAGCCATGGACGAGAAATTCTGACAAAAATCGACCAGTTTTACAAAGACCAAAGATTAACTTTTTTTGCAAATATATTTCGTGGTACAAGTCCCTAAACCGGCCTATACTTCCCTAAATCGGCCAACAATATGCATGCATCAGAAATCAATTAAATTGTCATAGCTTTTTTTTCAAATTGTGTTAAATCATGAAAAGAAAAACTCTCGTCAATGCGTTTGCCGGTTCACATATGAATTCTTTCGGTTCGGTTTGTCTCTAAAGATATCTTTTTTGTTACTCATGTATCCCTTCTTAATATGTTTCTAAAAACAAGTGATCCATTGGACCTGTATCGCTCACCTGATTTTTCATTACAACTGAATGCATTAGTACATCTTTATATGAAATTTCCTCAAAACCAGACAAGATCTATGCTCTAACCCAACTGGGACCACAATATCTGACTTTCAACTAGCCAGGGGACTCCGTTGAGTTGCCATATTAACAGATTTTGAAATAAGTAATATGTCATATTACAGGGTGTAATTAGACAATACTTTAATTTTCATTCAACTACAAGCTTTTATAAACCTAGAAACCAATTTTTAACAATTTATGAAAACTACACCATATAATATGATAATCAAGCTGTACCTTTTCTTAGGACCGCAGGGGTCAAATCAACCTCATTCAATGTTTGTTCTTCCTCAATAACGTTTTTGACAAAATTTTGTACAATCCACTCAGGCAATTAGGGGGTATTAGCGTCTTAAAGCAAAATATTAGATAATTTTCCTCTTTGGGGCCCTCTTTGGGGCCCGGTCTTCCTAGCCCCAGGGGTCGAACCAGCCTCATTTACTTAGGAAATGATTGCCCTCTCCCAAGAAGTTTCAGGGTAAATTTGGTTAAAATTGTCTCTGGTGTTTAGGAGGAGATGTGTTTTAAAGCAAATTTAGCTAAGTTCCCCTTCAGGCCCTCGCCCCCCTGGCCTTAGGGTTCAAACCAACCTCATATATTTAAGAAATGATTGCCCTCCCCGACTGATGCTTCAGACTAAATGTGGTTGAAATCCTTTCTTGTGTTTGCAGGAGATGCGTTTTAAAGCTTTAGCTAAGTCCCCCTTCAGGGCCCCGCCTTCCTGGCCTCAGGGTCGAACAAACCTCACTTATTTAAGAAATGATTGCCCTCCCCTACTGATGCTTCAAACTAAATTTGGTTACATCCTCTCTTGCGTTAAGCAGGAGATGCGTTTTAAAGCAAATTTAGCTAAGTTCCCTTTCAGGGCCCCGCCCCCCTGGCCTCAGGGGTCAAACCAGCCTCATTTATTTAGGAAATGATTGCCCTCTCCCAATGAAGTTTCAGGGTAAATTTGGTTAAAATTGTCTCTGGTGTTTAGGAGGAGATGTGTTTTAAAGCAAATTTAGCTAAGTTCCCCTTCAGGCCCTCGCCCCCCTGGCCTTAGGGTTCAAACCAACCTCATATATTTAAGAAATGATTGCCCTCCTAGACTGCTGCTTCAGACTAAATGTGGTTGAAATCCTTTCTAGTGTTTGCAGGAGATGCGTTTTAAAGCTTTAGCTAAGTCCCCCTTCAGGGCCCCGCCTTCCCGGCCTCAGGGGTCGAACAGACCTCATTTATTTAAGAAATGATTGCCCTCCCCTACTGATGGTTCAAACTAAATTTGGTTAAAATCCTCTCTGGTGTTTAGGAGGAGATGTGTTTTAAAGCAAATTTAGCTAAGTTCCCCTTCAGGCCCTCGCCCCCCTGGCCTCAGGGTTCGAACCAACCTCATTTATTTAAGAAATGATTGCCCTCCCCGACTGATGCTTCAGACTAAATGTGGTTGAAATCCTTTCTAGCGTTTGCAGGAGATGCGTTTTAAAGCTTTAGCTAAGTTCCCCTTCAGGGCCCCGCCTCCCTGGCCTCAAGGGTCGAACAAACCTCACTTATTTAAGAAATGATTGCCCTCCCCTACTGATGCTTTAGACTAAATTTAGTTAAATCCTCTCTTGCGTTAAGCAGGAGATGCGTTTTAAAGCAAATTTAGCTAAGTTCCCTTTCAGGGCCCCGCCCCCCTGGCCTCAGGGGTCAAAACAACCTCGTTTATTTAAATGATGACCCTCCCTTTGTGATGCTTAAGACTAAATTTGGTTGAAATCCTCTCTGGCGTATGCGATTTAAAGCAAATTTATCTAAATTCCCTTTCATTCCACCCNTTGGCGTTTAGGAGGAGGTAGGTTTTAAAGAAAATTTGACGACGGACGACGACGGACGCGGACGACGACGGACGAAGGGCGACGGACGCAGCGCCACGACATAAGCTCACTATGGTCCTTCGGACCAGGTGAGCTAATAAATGGACTAATTGCATTCAGGAATTGTTCTCCTGGCATTGTATCAGGAGAAAAATTAGTATTTTTACATTACCTGAAATGCAATACTGGCCATCTTATGGTATCAAATTACAATATATCTTAATGGATTATAAATAAACTACCGTGATAACGATAATCTAACCATTGGAGAAACATTTCTGATTTGAAAAGAATGAGATCAACTGATTTGCATAGTGTTTTGTCCAATGACATTACAAAGTGACGAAAAAAAGGAATAATTTGGTTTGATTTGTTTGTGTTTTACGTCTTAATATCAGTTAAGGACATTTACGTACGTTCCAGGTTTAAATGGTGGAGGAAAACCATAGAATAGAACCTGGAGAAAATTCACCGACCTGCGGAACCTTTCGGTACAAACTGGCAACAGTCCCACGTAGGCCTCGAACTCGCGACCCAATGGCGGAGGGCTTATGAATGATATTCTACAGATGAAAAACATACTTTCCACTAGTACCTTGCTATTTTGTACACAAAACTGAAGTCTTATTTTCATATTTTGCTTTCTCACCCTCTCTTTTTCTTGTGAACGAACACCTCTGGAAGGTCTTGATTGGATGATGGGGCTTCCAGAACGGAGTCTATTTCCTCCTGGGCAGCCAGATACTCCACCATCAGTTGGTCCGCACTTTTATCTGCAAGCACCAAACAATACTTAAAGTTTCCTTTTCAGATTTGTGTGGGGTTTCTTGATGTCTTTCCTTTTCACGAGTTCATAGTCCCAACTATTCTTATTTGATTTCCGGCTTCGGGTTTGTATTGACACTGTGGTATATTCTGTTTTGTTTGTTTTTAATTTGGGTGCTTATATCAAATGTCCAGTACAATGAGAAGTCAACAACCTGCATGAGACAAGTGTTTGAATATCGGTAGGATTAACAACAGATGGTCTTAAATAAGCATTATTTCCTATGAGGTTCCGGTCGATACAGCCACTATAACTTATGATGAACAGGGAAAAGTTGAATACTATACTATATACCATTCTCCCGCTACTGAAATATGTTTATATATACCTTAGTAAAAAACGCACATACGAAATGTATTCATAATTTTCGAAGTAACGCATTTTTCATTTGTAAATACTCAACGCTTGCTCTTTTTAATGATGTTTAAAATTCAATAACATGGAAAATATCATTAAAAGTCCGAATTTTGTAATGGATTAGAAATCCGTAGATGAACTAAAAATAGAATTACAGTTGTAGATATCTACAAATGGGGAACCAGTTGTAGATATATATACACATTCAATATCTTGACGAAAACATTAAAATACAAATATAATGTAATTCTTTGAAATAAGTACTTTTTGGCTCTAATAAAGAACCAATTCTCTTTCTTGAACACCTTGACCAAGGCTTTGTAATCTCAAATATTTTATAGTTATGCGATTAATTAAAAAAGAACACTTTATATTATTCCCCTGAATGATATTCAGACAACAGTTGCAGAGCCCCGGGGGCTTCGGTCAATATACGCTTAATGCTGTTTTTCGAACATTAAAAACACTAAAAAGTAATAAGCGCAACATCAACTCAGATAAAGAACTATACAGTGGCGGATCCAAAGGATCTTGGGGGTGGGGGGTCCAAATTTCCAGGGCGTCCAAGTGGGGGAAAATTGAGGAAAATGGTGAAAATACATGACTTTTAAAGAAAATTCNTGTGTATATAATGTACCAAGCATATAATACATAAATTTAGTCTCATGTCAGCTACACTCAACGGCTGTTCAGCTTACCACACAACCGCTGAAAGTACTCAAAAAAGTTTGCAATAACTACATGTTTCTTCATTGAAGTGATAACCGCCTTATCAAACAAATAAGCAGTCATTTTATTTGACATGCTAAAGTGACAAGGAGTACACTTAACCCTTTCACCGATATATCCCTGTAAAACAGGGGTTGAAAAAGCTTCTCTAAAACAGAGATTGAAGAAGCCTCGTCCAGACGACCAATCCCTGCATACAGGGAAATGGGGTTGAATTTTCTACCATAAAGAAATCACAATAACATACAACATATTCACACTACACTAATATAAGTTTGTAAATTTTAATATTTTAATAAATATCAAAGCAAAATAAATTGATATAAGACATTTCGGATATATTGTATAGATTATTTCTATAAATGAGAAAATATAACAAAACATCTGTCCTGGAGCCTGTCGTCTTTAAGTTGATTTTGTGAAGGGCAGGGTTGGTTAAAAAGTTAACAAAGGCATAGATTTGGACATCATCAAAATCTAAGAGGAAAATTTCCATTACATTTAATTTGTAAGCAAAAAAGTTTTAATCTAGGCAAGGGCAAGATGCATTTGTCAATGGATCCAAAATGAACTATATGCAGCCAAAACGATGGTATATTGTTTTCTGCCGTGTTAGTATCAGGTAGATCGTCAATTAATAGGTTGATAATTGTTAAGAGAACTTTCCGTAGTCACAAGAGAAGGACCACATCCCGGTGTATAAGTTACCCTTGCCTGAAGATACCGCAAAAATTATTAGAAATATTCGCTAAGAAGTAAGTCTCTTTTTCATGTTTAACATTGCTATTTGCAAAAGAAACAGGTTGATTTAAAGCTGGCACGATCACTGTTTCCAAAAGCGGGGATAAAAGATACCTTTGATATGCAGTGTTGCAGTCTCCTCAAAACCACATGATGAAAAGTTGTGAGATGAAACACCGAATTTCCCAAAATATAGCAAATATTGACGTAATTACATAGATAAATGCCTACGACAAATTTACAATTTCGTTTAAACAAAACAGTTGTGTAAACAAGATAGTGGGGAAATTGTAGATATTGGACCAAATTTTGTTTGCTTGTTTTTTAATGTTTAGCGATATCGCAACAGACAAGTTCATATGAGGAGACATCACCGGAAACAGAATGTAGATAGGAAAGAAAGGCAGAGAACAATTAGAAATGCAAAAGATCCCAAATATTGCAATTGGGGGGCGCATATCATTTTGGGGTACTTCCATGTCTCAAAAAATATGGGAATTGAAACCTCCCACGATCGGTAATATTTTCTTCGAAATACTAGGAATGAAAACTTATCGATGCTAATTAGATATAAAGCAGTTCCCCGTTTGAGTGGGTACTCGTAATCCACGAATTCATATACCCTCGAAATGATGTTTGTCGGGAGACCACGAAATTTGGGCCCGACGAAAATATTTGATTTCACAGTAATGTAAGATAAATCATCCCACCTTGACGTTTCTCTTTTTTCTTCTTTTCTCTAATGCGCTGTTTGTTTTTCTTCCTTTCTGCAGCTTTCCTTTGTTTCAATTCATCTTCTTCCTATAATAACACAAACAAACATAGCATTCCCTTACTAAAAATACCTTTATCAACAAGCAATTTGCATGATCAAGCGCAATGAGTATATGCAGGAAGATGTATCATAATTTATAAGTACTGTAAGCATTTATATATCATCGGTATTCTTATTTTAGCGCTTTTAGGTTTTAAAATATTGCATTGAATTATGATTACGCCATTTAACATCCTGTATATTATTTTCTACTGAATATTTTGTGTGTGCGCAAATTCATGAATTCGCTAAATTTGTTAATATTCAATACTGCGTTTATTTGAGTGCGATAAAAGAAGAACGTTAACGGAAGACAGCCAACGGTTCCCTCGAACTTTCAGGTAACAGAAACTTGTCAAGAGATATGCATACATTCTACATTCACAAAAACTCTGTATCGTATTACTAAAAACCAATTAGGGAAGCGTTGCATTCTCGATTTCTATAGTGTTTGGCATGTAGCTTTACTTTCCTTCAAATATGAATCGAGCATGTCGATTTGCATTCGTTATTTGAGATTATCTATGTACATGTACGTGTGCCTTTTTACTGTTTAATGTGTTGGTCATGTTTTGATGTGCTTTGTCGTTATGCATTTTTGATAATTTTGGCAATATTGTTTTTGCAGAAAACCTTAATTACGAATATGAGTGATCCACGCGAAAATAAAGACCCTCGCAATTCTCTTCCTCAAAGCAATTACTTAAAATAGCACTATTGCGAAAATAAACGTGTGAACAGTTAATGATAAATGATACACAGTGTAATAACTTCCAAACATAACAATAGCACACTTGAAATAATATCATTTTAAGTATGAAAGTGTTAATATAACAAATAACGTAGAGATAATTTGGTATTCGACATCTGAATCAAAATGACTGAATACATTGTAATACACAGCGGCCAAACATGGAGTCATGCAAAAGTTCGGAGATAAGTATAATAAAGAAAATGTATATATTGTAGGAAGTGTTATCGTACCTCGGCGGAATAGTACGCGTTTTCCAGGAAATGCTGCGACTGGGGAACCAGTAGGCTGGCAGGATGTATCGTTTTGGTAATCACCTCGTTGTCATCCTCCGTGTCTCCATCTGGCAAAGACAATTCACAGTATCACACTTGTAGTTGGTTCACACGCTTGGTAAGATTTTATTTATAGGGTATAAATAAAACATTTCTTATCTGATTTTATTATTAAAGTACAGACTAGAGATGATTGTAAGCAGTAAACCAAATTTCCTTTATCATATGCAAACATATACCCAAATTCCTGTTTGTGTTCAAAAACAAACCCAGTCTTTATTAATCATACCAAACTGATGAATCTTATTCCTAATCGTTTATTCAATGTTTGTAAGCATCTGAATTACCCGATACTCAAACTATTATTTTTATTAGTTAAAAAAAGTTTGTTTAAATTAAACAAATGAAATTTGAAATGATTCTTTGTTACACATTAACCATTTAGATAATACATCAATTCTTAATCATCATTCGGTTATAAATATACCAGTTTATCAAGTTTTACCATTATTTTGGATTGTACAATAGTATCCTATGTTCATATGATATCCATGGTGATGTGACTGTATAGATGTAGCACAAAAGATTTGCTGACAATTCCAAATTATGGAGTAGTATTAGTAAGGTAATGCTAGTATTAGGACACCGGTTGGTTTTATTATCTATCATTTGTTAAATTTATAAATAAATCCGATGTTCCACTACAAATATGTAAATACATTATAATGAGATGCCATTTGTACCTTTTCGTTTATTTTTCCGTCTCCCTTTTTCACCTTTTTTCTTTTTAGAGGATTCTATTAGCTCGACATCCTCGGCCATATTCTCCGACCCCAAGAAATCCTGAGACCTGGTATAAAACAATTTAGAAATGTTCTGTATTGTCTTTCTTTCCAATTACGTACCGGATAATAAAAACCTTCCTGGTATATCTTAATATTTTAATATACCCACATAAAGCCATACCTACATAATACATAGAGTATATGTGCTACAAAAACGGCTGACACTGCCTTGCAAGTTCATGAACACTATATAGGGTACAAACAACTTGTAACAATTAAAATATTGACGGAACGGAGAAGAGACAGACAGAAAAAGGAAAAGATGTAATTTCAGCTAAGGTTTTAGAAATATTTTTAATCAAAATATAAATCAGAATGCACATTGCATGTATGGTTGCCGGAATGTATAAGATGTCAAATAATTTAAGCCATTACTTTCAGCGTTTATGAAAAGGGTTTTTTCACAAATGATTTATCAAGGCTATTGTATTGCCGGAAAAAAACAGTTTCCAATACTTCATTTTTCGGCAGTCGTACGGGGATCCTTAAACGTAATTAGTTATAAAAGACAACATACTTAAAACCATTGTGATCATCTACATAATAACAACGGTATAGGTATAACTGCTCTCGATATGGAGAAGTTTCACAATATAAATACTTAAACGAAAAGCCAGACAAAAACAATAGACTGAAACAACAAAAGAGAAAGACAACAGTAACTAGTAAATATACAATCCTACCCTTGAGAGCGACCAATCCTTGAGGCCAGATCCGGTTTTTTTGTTTTTTTGACCTCGGCGTAGAGGTGTTCATCCTCCTCCTTACTCCTCGTGTCTGAAGTAACCTCATACGACTGTTTCTTTGGCGACTGGACCTTCAGGTTGGAAGCACTTCCTTTGTCTGTCATGCTGGAGTACTTTGAGTTACTACGTCCGCTGCTTCTAATATCTTCCTCTTCCTACAAGTGAGGGTAAGTCTAACATGTAAATGTGGCTTCAAAGCTTTATCATATAAAGCTGCTTATCGATTAGTTATCACCAGTAGGGTCAGAACACCGCCTGGAGTGAACACCTCCTCCTTATAGTGCAACCGCTCAGATCGATTTCGATTACAGTTAAAGTGTTTCTCCTTCAACAGGAACGCATTATTCAACTTCATATCACAGCGTTTGATATACATGATACATTTGAAGTTATTTCTTTTGTAAAGTTCATTATTAATTATGTAAATATTGAGACTGAAAGGATAATAATTATGATGATTGTTCATGCAATTCACTTGAAGAAGGGATATCGTGTAATGTTGAATAGTTAATATAATGTAGTTGGACATATATATATATACAACATTTTCAAATTAAACCTAAAATATATCTATTTAATACTGCTCAATACATACAGTCCCTTACTCAACAATTTAGTTTCTTACAATGCAACTCGGTAGAAGGGGGACAACTCAAGATGACATCACATACTTTTTTGTGCATCAAACACGAATTCATTTTCCGAAAAATCATTATTTTTACATCTTCAAGAGAGAGCAAAGACCTATTAACTTGCATGATACCCTCTGATTGACCAATGTTAAGTCGCGATATATGGGCAAACAATCCCTCTGTTATAACTAGAGTACTAAAAAGACACATGATTACTTTTTTTTATGCAGGATAAAATTATCAAAGAATAAATACACGAATAATACATTTAAGTGTAAATGAGGTTAATAATATTAATTTGGTTAATTTTAGACACTCACTTCTATAACAAAAAATAATCGACAGAAACTGGTGACACAATTACCGTCTGCACATCAGGTTATAATTTGTGACGGATACTATTCTAGAATAACCTAAGTATGCTTGCAATTTAACTCTGGTGTCATTTTGTTGTTTCTGTTTCTCTCTTTTCTATTTCTTACATCATCCAGTGGGGCGTTTTTCAGGTTCATCAATCTTGGTTCGGCTTCCTCTTCTACACCAGACTTCTTTGATTTCTTCAAAGCGATGCACAGTCCGACGATGGCGATGACGACAAGAATGACGACACCGCCGGCGACGACAGCGATGATCCAGGTCTGAGTATTATCTGTAGGGACTGCAGTCGTTGCTACTGTAGTCGTCGTCGTCGTTACCGGCTCGACCCAGTTCAACGCTGTAAAAGTTCTTATTACACTAACAGAACAAACTGATATTGCAATTCATACCCGCAAATACTGTTATTGATGACACAACATAACAATATCGAAGTGTCAACAAACTCTAATTAAACCTGAAAACGATAAAACTACTGGGGCAAAATATAAACAAGGAAAAATTTACAATAAGAACTTTGAAAATGGTAAAATGAGAACAAGACCATGTATTCCGAAAGTGTGTCTTTTCATTAATTAAGACAACCGCCATATAAATCGTGGTCAAATAATGTCATGTCCTCATAGCGAGAACTAAGGTAATGAAAATAATCAAAAACATCAACCTCCTTGTCACAAACGTGAATGGCATAATTTCCAATGAGATGATGATGATGATGATGATGATGTTCCAATGATAAAGTGACACCTATGTTAATAGGAAGATTCTGGATAACACATGGGCATATTCAGGTTACATCTTAAATATGTATTTACATTTGCTCTGCATCCTTCCATTGTAATGCATTGAGAACAACATTTGCTATTGTAACGTCATCAATCTCTATTGTGACGTCATCAATTTCATTGTTGTCAAAACTTAAATTGCTGTTAAAAAAAAAATCAAAATAACTAAATAAAGCATAACTACTCAATGAAAATGTAAATAAAAGTAATGAATATTTTAGCAAATATTGTTATGGTCCTATAACACACATTTCTTTTGCTGACAAACTTACATAAAGCATTGCCGGGCTTTATTAAGCTTGTCATCAATAACAATGTGTGTTATAGGATCATAACAACATTTGCTAAAACATTCATTACTTAAGTAAATGATGTTTTTAACTTACGTTTTGCTTTCTTTGTAACTACGTATCGTAGTTCGATGGCCATTTCTTGATCACTGACCAAGTTGATTGTTTCCGCGTTGACTGCCGATGGAACAGGCAACTCTGCCTTTTCTACAGTATACATCATTGACACCGTCTCTGGGCCAGCTGGATCACGTTTAACGTCCTGCATCTGTTCAAAATATGAATGACACATCTGATTGAAGAGAAAAACATCTGAGCTAATGTTAGATTTTAACAACGAATGACCTCACTTGGGAATGAAGGAAAATACCCATTGATGAAAATAGAACGAGTGCATAGGCCTTACCATTCGTAAGTATGTAGTAACAAGCATGTATCAGATCAATGCCTAGTGGCGTTCTTCAGATGTGACATGGGTATTTATTTATAGAAATTTTCGTAAGAAAAGTTACTCAATACCACACATTGTGTAATAAGAAATTCGGTGTTTTCGCATTTTGGAGAGTGAATCACCGCAAAACTATATATACGGAAATATGTAAGTATAGATGATAGATATATAGAATATGTAAGTATAGATGATAGATATATAGAATATGCACTTATAGGTGTTATATATATAGAATATGCACTTATAGGTTATATATATATATAGAATATCCACTTATAGGTGTTATATATATAGAATATGCACTTATAGGTTATATATATATAGAATATACACTTATAGGTTATATATATATAGAATATATTTATTTCAGAATCATTGCCAACACGATAATTTCTATACTGCAATCAGTTGACAAAGTCAAAGCGCAAAAATATTCCATTATCCATAAAAATGATAAAATTTCCACTTTTCCAGAATTGTTTAAACGTTGATTATTGCGTTGATATTGAAACCATTTCAAAAGTGTTGAATGAGCAGTTCGGAGATTGTTAGGTCTGTAGTGTTTCTTTAGTAGAAATACACATATCAACATTCCATGTTCCTTCCCTTTCAACAGAAGAATAATCTGGTGTTGATATAAAAACAATATATAAATATTACCAGTGCTGAATCTACAGTTTCGTTATTACTATGTGCTCAAACACCGCGAAAACACTTGATCACGGTTTCTCTGTCTCAAGTTCATTTTGCATTATGCTAAACTGTATAATAAACTAGCATTATTAACACTTACAGTCACCATGATGTCATCGACAGTAGCAGTACGCCGCCTCCTCTTTCTCTTTTTCCGGCTGTCGAAGGAGCTAGCGTCTATGTCCCGTTTCCTTGTGTAAGCTGTGACGTACAGGTTAGCAAGTCCAAATTCCATCTTGTTTACAAAATCATCACCACTCACGTTTACAGACACAGGGACCTGTATATCTAAAGTAAGAGAGTAGAATTGTGTAAACATTTGTTGTTTATTGTTGAGAAAGTTTTTTTCTCAAATTAGCGAATTTCATGGTATCAAAATGCGGTATACTAAAATAAGAACAGATTTAAATATAATATATTTGAGTTGCTTCCCTTCGAACGTAGAAGAGAGAGAAACGTCTACAAGATACCATAAAATAACACATGGATTTAAAATAAAAGATACCAAGGTAGGTAACACGAAATATCCTTGCTTGTTAAACGTTTCAATTATATTGTTACATTGTTTATTGATAGAATAAGCATTTCACTAGTTTGTACACTTGAAATTGGTAGTTAAACACCTACACAGGAAAACATACACGTGAAAATGGTTAACGTAGCTGAACAACTGCCACGAAAATAGGTCGTAAGACAATGAAAGTTGAACACCTACCGCGAGAAAACATTTACTTCAACACACTTACCTGTTACAGTCCAAAAGGTGGCTATGAATGAGCTGGTGGTCGTGGGGGGTTCCGTGGTGGTAGATGTTGTGGTGGGAGCAGGTGTTGTCGTCACAGGGACCACTGACGTAGACATCATATTTGTGGTGTTACCCGATATCATGCTGGTCATATTCACCGCCATAGTCATGGTCACGTTCACGGAGGTGACGTTATCTGATGATGTAACATTTTCAACAGAAGATGGCGTCGTAGTAATTGAAGGTGATATTGTCACATTCAACGCTGGTGTAGACGTAACATTCTCAATAGCAGACGGCATTGTAGAAATTGAAGGCGCTACTGTTACATTCAATGCCGGTGTCGTCGTGACATTTGCAGTTGCTGGAGTTGTGACGTCGGAGCTTGTAGGCATCGTAACAGCAGATGACATCTGACTCGTTGAATGTGTTGATGTTGAATGTGTTGATGTCGCATTCACTGACAATGATGATGACATCAGAGGGGCACTTGTGTTGTGTATCTGTGTAGTAGTATTCGATGAAAACATATCACTTGGAGTTGGCAGAACTGATGATGCAGTTTCCAAAGGACTCAAAAGATTTGCTGCTGATGTCATATTGGATGACAGTGTCATACTGGGAGTTGACACGACCACAGCTGGTGATGATGGCTCTTGAGAAGAAGAAATACTGCTAAATATTGTTGGTTCAGTAACTACTGTTGCTATTAATGAAGACTGCATCAGTGATGACGTAGTTGACGTCATGGAGGACATAAAAGTTGTACTGGCGGGTATAACCATGGAACTCATCGTACTTCCTGGAGCTAAAACACTGGCGTTGTCCACCGTAGATAAGGATGTCGATGCCTCTAAGGTTGATGTATAGTTCATTGTTGATGTTGTCGGTGTGATGGATGTAGGATGTACAGCTGTGGGCAATAAAGCAGTACTATTCACGCCTGACGTTGCAAGAATGGCTGAAGAGGTCATCAAAGTCATGTTCCTAGTGTACGCATTTGTTACTGCCATGGTAGTATATATTGAGTTAGTACTGAAACTTGCAGATAACGTCCCATTCACAGTGTTCATGTTAGACGGTGCAAGGGGCAGTTCAGTTGGGGTTAGTATGGACACGCTCCGTGTCAGATTAATCATTGCGCTGTGAGGTGTTGGCGACACTAATAAGGGCGTTGAGGCGGTAGAAGTGTACATGTCAGTACTATATGTAAAGCTTGGAATCACACTGCTTACAATGGTCAATGATGACCCAGTTATATTAGTAGAGGAAAAAGGCATAGGCGGGAAGTTAGTACTTGGTGCCACACTAGACAAGCTATAAAACGAAATATTCAATGATGATGTCATGTGATAGTCAGACGCAAGGGAAACTGATCGAATGAAATCACTAATGATCACTGATGACGCACTTCCGGTAGGTCTCGCTGACATTGGTGGGATCATAGATGGCAAGCTTCCAGAACTGTCGGATACTGGTCGCGGGGAAAAGAAGTTGATGCTTGAAGACAACATAATCGGAGGAAATATTGAGCTCGTGTATCCACTGCTTCTTGACGGTATAATAGGTAAATTAATACTGGGAGATGATTGATATACGGAAAGTGTTGGTGTTTGATACATACTCGGAGAACTCGCAAGCATAGTAAGCGTTGGAAACACTGCACTCACGTTAAGGCTAACAGAAGAGGATAACATGTAAGGTGACGATATAGTCGATGGCGACATGTGTGGAAGCACATCGGTAACGTTCAATGTTCGTGTTGAATTCATTATGGGGCCGCTACCTCCAACACTACCTGACACTGAGAGAAGATCGGACAATACTGGTGTCATTATAGATGAAATGGTTCCAGACAAAGATGCAGACGAATCGGTGACGTAAGTGGGCGGTACAAACATCGAAGAATACAAAAACGTTGAAGTTCCCATAACTGTGGGAGAAACTAGTAGAGGCATACTGTAAGATGCTGAGTCAGCAATAATTGACGGTGATATTTCACTAATATCTACACTTGATATGAAACTTGACAAATTGTCAGAACTGCTCCGTGCCGAAATAATTGGGAGAGCCGACGATGGTAAAATAACATCTGTTGGGGTCAAAGAGGACGACTGACCAAATGACATAGTTGACATGACAGGTAAACTGACCGTTGCTGATTCTGATGTAAGCACCAACGTTGGTATAACAGGTGACATAATTGACTGGCTTGACTGGCTTGAGCCAGAGCCCGCAACACTTGACAAATGTTGCGAGAACACGTTACTTGACAAGGCAGACATATGTGCACTACTGTCTAAGACAATGGGCATTGTGGTTTGTACGTCAGATTGAACAATTGACGAGGGTTGTGTTGGACTTATTGGTACTGATGAAGTCAGAGAAACTCCATCCAAATTTGATGTAATATCGAACATTGCAGAATATGAATCTAATAATTCAGATGATGCTTCTCCTTGACTGATAAATGGGGAAGAACTTACCATGTTATAGGTGGGAGATGATGTGTCTGTCAAATTATTTACAACTGTCTGACTAGATGCAATACTTAACAGCATGGGGGTCGATGTTATGACCACCAGATCTTTACTTGTATGCAGGGGGACAGTAGCGAAATTTTGAATAAGGGAGCTATCTATATATGCCGATGACACGAGAGTTGGTAGATGGGTTTCTTGGATGGTAGAGCTTATAATCGTGTTATGAGTGGCCGATGATACTGATTCCATCATAGACGCAAGTGCGTTCCTGGTGGAAACACTAACCGTACTAGACCACCCTCTGTTAAAACTCGACTCCACTGCATTCAGAGATGTTTCAGCTATCTGACTGGCAGACGGCGCAGGATTGATAATGGCGACCGTTGAACCAGCTGATGCGAGTACATCGTTGACGTTGGATGATGACGGCGTCAAATGGTTTGTCGATGCTGGTATATTATCTGTAGCATCGACTGCAGAAACCATTGGAGTTGTAGACACAAACACCGAGGGAGCAACAGGAACAATGTGGTCACTTCCTGAAACCATTGACACATCGGCGGTGGAATCTGCCTCAGTCGTTGATACTGTACTACGCTCACCCGTATAACTACTTTTTATATCTTGGCCTGCATGTGAGGACACAAACTGGTTATCACTGTGAATACTACTTCCGGTATTAGCGGTAGTTGAGTATGCGTTTTGGTCACTGATGGAGTTCCTTGCTCCTCCGTTTGCTTCAGTTGAGGAAAAGGTTTGGTCACTTATGGAATTCTGTCCTCCTCCATTGGATACAGTCGGTGAAATGGCTTGATGACTAGTGTATAGAACAGATGCAAGTGTCTGACTCCCTCCGCTGTCTACGACAACTACGGGAGGGGAAGCTGTCACACTCGCTAAAGCCACGCCACTCGATAGGACAGGGGTCGGGGTTAAACTCTCTATACCAAGTGTTAGTGCTGAGTGGTCAGGACTTGCGGAGGCTGAGAAGAGAAGATGTGGGAACACACGATATAGTCGGTGCAGGTTTTACTCTATTACTCTCAAATTAGCATACTGGTCATCACTTAATTCTTGCGAGGTAAATATTTTGCGTTACATTTTCACTTTATAAAAAATTGAGCCATTTTACATTGAAAATTATCTTAAATTTTACGGAATATTATATAATTGGTGACGTTAATACGTTTTCGTATTTTAAAACAATTAACGAAATATCATTAAAAAAAATGTTAAAACCTTTACTAATGAGTCTTTCACGCAAAAATAAAAGTTCGCAAGAAGTAAGTGATAAACAGTATCACATAGGAAATCCAAAGAGATCGTCACACTACAGCTTACTTCTTAGTAAACCAAGATACAAGAAGTAAATGGTTGCACTTAGTTTCAATACTTAGAAACTTTTGTTTTTTTCTGTTTTTGTTTTTAATATGGTGATACGGAACAAAATTACAGAGAGGACTTTCTTTTATCTGATTTGATTGAGCAATGGTTGTTTGATCTCTTTGAACTACAAAATTGCTGTATTGCAGCAACAAACTGTTTATACATTTCTACATCACACTTTCTAATTAGCAAATGAGGAGGCCACACACTGTCTATCACGCGTGTTGCAAACTACAACTGACAGATGACAGCTGTTTCTGGTTTCTAAAGAGAAAAATTTAACACAGCTTTGTATCATTTCCGACACATGTTTCCAATTATCAATTTATCACCTCAAGTAATATGTGTCGATATGGCCATATATCTTGGATTTGTCTTACATTGTACAGCGGGACGATTTTGACGATAAATAAAGCAAATCTGATCATATTCAAAAATTGATTGATGAGAACGAGCTACTAGACTTCGTTTCGTGGCGGGAAGATGGGAGGTTATAGACATGTATCTTTTAACACACATCAATATCATATATTAAACAATAGGATATAAGGTACATGCTCTGAGTAATCTATTGAAAGCCAATACGTACTAAATCGACGTTCCTTGTTAACCAGACAGACACCAAGGTTCCATTGCATTAATGTCATTATAAAATCTCTATTCCGTCTTTGCGTATTGCAGAGTTATCTACTTAGGAGCAGGTATTGATTGTTACGTCATTTGTTTGTGAGAGTAACGTCATCATTTTTTAAGAAAACGACGTAATTTTCTCACACAAACAAATAACGTAACAATCAATGCCTGCTCCCAAGAGAAAATAACTCTGCAATACGCAAAGACGGAATATAATGAATGAAAAGACATGTTGCCAAGGTGTTCGATTAAGAACAGGTTTTCTCAGATATATAATAATATTTAGTTGCAAGTGTTTCTTTTCTTGCTGTGCAAAGTTAATAATTCTGTAGGTCTAAATGTTAGTTTCCCATTACGGTACATGTGTGTGTAAATGGGTCGAGTGCAGATGCTCTATAAAACCTGAAACGTTTCGGCCATAGCATGACTGTGTATTGTCGCTAGCAATTTAATTAAATCTTCCGCTGCAATTCCCAACATTGTATGACGCACCACGAGATATCTTATTTCCGTTACCTAGCTGGTCACGACGTACCACGAAATATCTTTTTTCAGTTACATTAATTGTTCCGCATACAGACTTGTTATTTGAGAACCTAAATTGAAGTCGCTTTTTTGTTATTTGAGAACCTAAATTTAAGTTACTATTTATAAAAATAAATAACTTTAAAATCCAATGAATTCACCCGGCATTTGACCCTGAATACATCTGTTTATATACTTGTACTTACCAATATTGTATTTCCCGGTACTCCAGCGCAATGCAGAAATAATTTTTTGTTTGGTGAACAATTTGACAGGGGTATCTGAGTGGTTGCAATGCTATTCGATAAGATCGTCTATAGCAGCATCCATACAGCGTCCATACATGTATAGGTAGATTGATGCATTTTCATCCAACCAAATACATTGCAAAAGGGAGGTACTTTGAAAACCATATATTGCTGGGAATAGCAATCATGAATCTAAAAAGATCACTGGAAATTGAAGTAAGGAAGTAATAATTTTAAAAATTGGAAGGTCTACGCAAAAAGTTAAACAAACTAATGTTTTACTGCGCCTTCACAATTCGTAAGACCGAAAGATTGAAATGATGTCCCAAGTACTCTGACACAAACGTAATTTTCGAAATACAGCAAAATTGGAAAGACTTGATACAACCCTTCGTGGCGTTACAAATTGCATCGCGAACTTTTATTCAGAGTTGTCCATTTTCGTTTTTATTTTGCGAATTTAAATAACCTATTCACAGTAACCGAGTTTTTTTTTACAGAATTGGGTTCATTTCGTAATTATAGTTGCAGCCACAGTACCTACCGTTGTAGGTCGCTACGGAAGAGCTAAATATACAGGCGAAACGTCTCATTATTAATAGGCATCTGAGCTATGTTATCTAAGCCGTATTCATGAAACCGTGGTCATGCTCAAACTCAGATTCTGTGCTGAAGTCCAATTTCTTGTTCCAGTGATAGCTTTACAAAAACAATTTCTTTGTCAAGTTTGAGTACAGAAACAATGCTTGAGAATGAGTACGTTGAAATGAATACAGGCCCCGGATATAAACCCGTATTATTTGTATGCAGTTGCCAGCACCCTGTTATACTTCCATTCACATATACTAATTTGTGATGTATACGTGTAGGTATGTTAGTATATGGTTACAAGCACAGTAGCACTTGCTGTGCGTTATAAATAATTTAAGCATACATTCATTGTAAACATAACATACAATGTACATTTTTATAATACGATTATATACGAATGGTCCAATGCTGAAATGAAAATCAATATAACAATAAAATTAATCAAATATGTATAAAACACATTATAGGTTAAAGCACGCTTAAACAGTCACTGACATGGATATTGGAAAAGTAAAGTACAAAATAGACACAAATATATACACTCCGGTAAGTACGACGAGATTTGCTTTATGAGACATGGAAATCATGCATTTATGTTTTGTTTGTAAATATTTGGTTTAAAATTATCATAATAGAGATATGAGGTTTTGATTGAAATTGTTTAGTGCATGCGTCAGACGGATCTTTTCTTACCCAACTTATGGAAATGTATTTAATTCGTGAGTTATAATAACAACCAATTTCGTGAGTTATTAAGAGAATATGTAATTTAATGACTTATTGGAAGAGTTTGTTTTATGACTTGTGGCATATAACGTTTTACAAGTTACAAAATAAATCGTTTCATGAGTTTTGGTACAATGTTAAAGTTTGCGAGTCATGGAGATTGATTGCTTTTATCATGTAAGAGAAAAGATTGAAGAATTATGGAATACTGAAAAATTCAATGGAATAATAAGTTCCTTAAATTAGGGAACAGTTCCTTGGTTTAAACTTTGTTTTATTCAAATTTTGTTTGACAATACATCGAAGTACATGTTATATAGAACAGAGAAGGAAACACATAAGTGTCGTGAATAGTACCTTCTATGAGGTATGGTAATAATTCGATTCACGAGTTTTGCAAAAAAACAAAATTCGCAATTTATGAGAAAAACTGGTTGATGACTAACGAAATAGTTGGTTTAAGAGGTCAGGAAATGACCTCTGTTTCATAGGTTATGGACATGATTTATTCATGGTTGTTAGGAAAACGGTTGTTTCAAATTTAAATATAAATAAATTTTATTGTCGAAGGACAAATGGATTGGGCAGCAGGCATAGCCTATTTAAGCCCTCTCCAAACATAGTAACAAACAGTGGTACAAGCATAGACATAGACATTAGAACACATATAAACAAGTTGTTTCAAATCTTGACATTAAGTTTTAAGTTTAGTTTTCTTGTTTGGAACTCCCCTCACCGGTCTGGTCTCTGGGTCTGCCATTGTTATGGGGGAAAATCATTAGGTACGATGTATGAAATAGTTGCTTCGTCAGTTATAGAAATACATTGTTTTAAATGACCTACCTAAACCTTTGTTTCGTAAGTGAAGGACCCTTGGCGAGGACTTATGAACCTGGGTAATGGTAGTATTTTGGAGAGAAGACTTGGGAACGGGGGGAGTGGTGTAAAGGATGTATATGTTACATTGTGTCAAAGCCACCAGGCTAGCTTCGACATCAGGTTTTGTCGTTTATCTCAGCTTTAGTGCACCCGACTGGAGAGTCGGTGGTCGCTAGTTAGACCCCGACCAATGGTACGTACCCATTTTATTGCTTTCTTCCTACAACATCAATTAGTTTCCAGTGACTTTCAAATTAAAGATTTCTTCTTAGATTGACGGACGAAGCCTTAAATACTTCAATTCATAGATTGCCCTGTGGCGCATACGTACAGCTAACACTTGCACTTCCGGAGTGTTACATCCGGTGTTTTGTGGGAGAGCATGATAATTTTCCTTTGTTTTGGTATCGATTTTGCTTTAGGAGTTTGTTCGTGGGTATTGATGCTAAGTATACATTGGACAAGATACAAATTTGAGAAAAATTCAATTTATGCTTACTTTACCCCGGGAAATTTCATAGAATCTATTTTGCCAAAAAAAGTCCTGAATTGGGAAACCGATTAAAGTTGAATATTTACATGAAAACACCGCAAAGTTATACCTGTGATTTATCATTTAACGTCGTTCTTTAAAAGGCATAAATGGCTATCTTATAAAGCGATTTGACCTTACCGCTTTCTAGCACAAACTTATCCACCGTACGCGTAGTACACGAAAGTCGTCACTGCACAATGTTACCAGTGTCGGGACTACCAAACTAGATACACGTGCATTATTTAATCCTATGTAGAAGGTTGCCTGGGTCGAGACTATCAAATTAGGTATACGTGCATGATTTAATTCTATGTAGAAGGTTACCTGAGCCAGAACTATCTAATTAGGTATACGTGCAGGATTTAATTTGTTGGCAGTGTTGTGGTACATATATGTTTACGTATCGAGGGAAATAGATCAGGATACCATCTCCCAATTAAAAAATATACGACTGTTACAT